TGTTGTATTTAAAATTATTTTGAAATACCAAATTGTTATCAGTTTGATAAAATTTAATGATTGTGTTCGATAACTTTCTTAAGTTTGTCACTTATTATCTCTTTTATTATAATCACATATAACGCAAATGTTCAATCTCGTATTATTGTATCATTTTTTTAATCTTCATCAGTCGAATGACATTAACTTGAAGTACATACAAATTGAAGTACAAGAATTATTATTTGATAAACAAATACATCATTTCCTCATCAATTGTTACTTGATGGCAACAGAAGTGGACATGTTTTTTTAGTGTGTCCTGGGTTTCTACAATGCCCAAATCTTCTGTCTTGTCTAGATCTTTCTCAAATATCCATATCGCAATGAATTCGATTGGATTTTGGATGACCACGCTCCCTCAATAAACTAGGATTTGGTACAATCGGAAGCCAATCTTGAACCTCATCAGGGTCTTTGTCAGTACCTATAGGGGGAAACTCAAATTCTTATACCTTAAAAACTTCAGATAGTAGGTATACATGATCCACAAAATGGTTATAGTCTTGACGTGTATGCGAGCAAGCTGCTATCACATGAGAGAATGGATACTTCAGAGCTTGAAAAAACTCGCAGTCACACGTTCTATCCCTTAGATTTACTCTTAACGACACAACTTCAATCCCTTGAAGAGGTCGCGGCAACTCTGTGACATGAAACATTTCATGCCTTCTAGAGAAGATTGTTACAGACATTCCATTTTATGCAGAAATTTTTTTTCTGTAAATCTGCAACTAATCTAGGATGATAGACATTACCGCCTTGCATCCAGGTTTGAGCTTGTCCCCCGAGCTTCGCAAAAAGCACCCCTAAACAAAAATATGTAGTCTTTACCAAAGCCGCTACTGGTAAGTGACGTGCACCCTTTAAGGTCGAATTGATTGCCTCTGTCAAGTTGGTCATCATGTGTCCATATCGATATCCACTATCATATGTGTTCATCCACATTTCTTTATCGATGAGGCTGATGTAATTGTATCCTTCCTCGTTCTTCGCCCGCAAATCTTGAAGCATTGATTCAAACGTTCGAGGAAGTAGTTCGTAACCTGATCAAAAAATGTATAACTTACTAACTTACTTTCTTTGCAAAATTATCGAAAAGAAAACATACTACATCAGTTTCACTTACCCATGCGCACAATTAATTGACGCTCATCATTCTTCTTGTACCTTCCATGGTAGTTCGCAGCAATGTGTCGGAGACAATACCTATGTTGGACAAAGGGTGGTTGCCACATTGGACCCAAAGACTCCATTGATGCTTTGATCCCAGCTCCACAATCTGAAATGACACAGATGTTTTCCCCTGTGATAACATGTGCACTTAAATTTCGGAGGAAAAAAACCCAAGAATCTGTATCTTCTCCTTTGACAAGAGTCAAAGCAATTGGAAGAATGTTGCGATTGCCATATTGGACAACTGCCAATAATAAAACTTGCTTGTATTTACCATACAAGAAAGTCCCGTCGATCTGGACCACAGGATTGTAATATTTGACAGCATTAACGCACTGTGGGTAAGTCCAAAAAACCCGGTAGAATTGGCATCGATCGCGGAGAACTTGATCATTATGGTATGCATAGGAGGTTTCGAAGTCCACAATTATCCTAGGATTCAACCTCCGCACCAGCCTAAACCAGCCTGGAAGTTCGTTGTAAGATGCATCCCATTCGCCATGAAGTTTGATAGTGGCATTTTGTTTTGCCAACCAAGCTTTTTTATAAGAGACAGTGTACCCATACTGCGATTGTATAGCTGAAATCAACACAACAACATCTATATGAGAGCTTGCTTTTACCATGGGCATGATGGCTTGGCATATCACTTCAGAGTCCAAGTTGGGATGATCTTGGTTGACCCCTCCAGCACAACATGTGTGAGGACCGTTGTATACTGTTAGTTCCCATATGTTGTTTTCCCTCTTCCTTTTCGATACGTGAACCATCAAATTGCATCCGTTTTCGCGTCGGGCACAGTAGCATACATATTTTTTGGTCGTGGATCGGTTAACTCTGGACTGAACATAATTACGCATATTGTAATTTTTTATAGTCATCACCGCTTCTTCTTTGCTTGAAAACTCCATGCCTAAAGATAACTCACCATTATTTATTGATGAGTAATATCCATAGTCACCGAGATGAGGCATATCCGCAAATTCTGGCTCGTACATTGCACCATAGTCAGCTTCATACATGTGTGCAGGAGGGTCAGTTTGTGCCATATTTCCTGGAACTTCATCATCATCGGAGTTGAATTGCGATGATTCTGGGTGAATGAATATTCCAGTCTCAGCACCATCCGCACCAGGCTCACGAAGCAGTTCTTCTGGTGGAGATGATGGTTCCTCCACGCGCTCCACATTTAGGTCGAAGAACCTATTAGTTGCACGTCTTCCCCTTGAACTAGAAGGCATATTGATATTGAGATAAAAAAAGCTCGCAGTCGAATGTCTCCCCCTAGAGTTTGAAGCAATCGTGTCAAATGGAAACTCCACAGATGGTTACGTCAATGGCATCTCCATATTAAGGTCAAACGAATTTGCATATGAATGTTTTCCCCTTGAACTGGACGCGATGTTGCCATACAGATTGTTCGTCGACCCACCTCGGTACATATCGTAAGGAGTTGCTGATGAATGTCTCCCCATTATGGCATTAAAATCATTACACATTACTGTCGTCGGACTGTCAACTTGTTCAGCTAACCCATAGTGGGAGCTTAATGATTGACCCCGAACGACATGCACTTTAATAAAATTTACATACATCTCATTATCGGCGTCTGAATAATTACTTTGAGCTTCAACCATCATTTCAACATCATCATTGTTCAAAACTTCGAACGCTATATAAGTTAATGACAACAATGATGTTGGAAATCTGTACTGCAACGACGACATTCTTATACTACTTCCAACATGAATCTTCCTCGAAATCTTCGTTATCAGCTCCTTAAGAGTTATGTTTCTCTTCAATGATATTTTAACACGCTCATTTGATGCGAAAACAATGTCGGTTTCATCTTCTCGAATTTCACCATCATAATAAACAATAACTGAAAGTCGCGTCATTCTTTGAGTTTAAAAGTGCGACAATATTATATCTGCAAAAAAACAACTGAAACAATGCTGATTAAATAAATAATATATGAACGAAAATATAACAGAATAATTTTTTTACACATAAACGTAAATAATTTAAATAATATAATTTTATATTATTACCTGTACCGCAAAACTATTTCGACGTATATTCCCGCTTTCTAATTTTACAAACACATAAATTAATTGACAATAATTAGTATAATATTTTTCAAATAATAATAATAAACAATAAATATAATAAAAAATTATCACAAAATTACCTTATAACGAAATATCGAACGAACTTCTGAATAAAATATGAGAAAATTGTCAGAATTATTGACTCGTTGACGGAATTGTTGTATTAATTTATAAGTTGAGAGGAGAAATGTGAGGAGATGTGAGGAACTTAATCGGGGAGAAGAATATTTATAGCTGGGAAAAGTTACAAGGCGCGGTACCTGCACCGCGCCTTATATAATTATATCAGTTAAAGGTATGGCGCGGCCCCTGCCCCGCGCTATATATAAATCAGAATTAAAGGTAAGGCGTAGTCCATGCCCCGCGCTATACCCCTACGTGGCGTAAGGCGCGCCCTAGGGGCCGCGCTTTACACAAGTGTATCTATGTCAGAATAAGGCACGCCTTACCTCACGTGGCACTAAATCAGCATATAGCGCGGCGCAGAGGTCACGTTTTACTGCTAAGGGTGTTAGATCGGAAAATATAGTCTTACCGATATTAGATCGGTAAATATACTAGTCACTGATGATTTTTCGAGAAAAACGCCAGAAAAAAGATAACTCTAAAAAAGAAAAGAGAGTATTTCTATTAGATATATAACTCATAACCTAAAAAAATATTAAAATATAATGATGAACAGTTTAACCGAACTATCAAATAAGCTTACTCTGTGCTAATTCATTTTTACATTATTATCATTCATCTTCACTATGTTATTATATATCTTCATTGTGTTACTTTAAATTAAATTTAAAATGTTTTTTTTAATATATTTGATTATAAAATTAGTAATTAATTCTTTATAAAGATCCAGGATAATTTAGACAAAAGCACCCTTTGCAAATATAATTTATCATATGGAATTAAAAAAATAATTCAAATAAATATTTATATATAAAAATAAAGGTTTAATCAAATAAATATTTATATATAAAAATAAAGGTTTAAGTATAAAATAAATATCTAAATTATACATTTTTTCACGAATATGTGTCTAAATAATTTTTTTACTTATCTCGATGTCAAACGTTGTAAGCATTATTGTTTTAGGTGTTCGAGCTGTCAACAATGTTAATTTACTATGTTAATTGATACAATGACATAATCTAGTAATTTTAAAATTTATTTATAAAAACTTTAAAATATTATATTTTCAAAAATGCCCCAATTTTTTTTCTAAAATATCAAAAAAATTAAAATCGTTTTTTTTAATCTCATTTACTCCAATCACTAATCATTTTCGACCATCCATATGTCGCCTACCACTCATATATCAACGACCATCAAATGATCGATCATAATCTTTAATATCGTCCCAAAACCCAAAATTCTTCAAATTCGTAAATTTCAATCATAATCCCAAAAGTCCCAAGTATTCAATCCATTAAATTCTTTTGATAGATCGTAATAACTGGCTGTTTAGCCGACTGTGGCAGCCGACCGTTTGGCCATGGAAATGCCATGTTAGCAGGGGTGGGACACGAGTAGGGAAAAAGTTTTTAAATAAACTCAAAACCTTCGTCTGCAAGTTTACGAAGGGGTAAAGGACGAATCCTTTCAAAAGTTTTTAAAAAAACTCAAAACCTTCGTCTGCAAGTTTACGAAGGGGTAAAGGACGAATCCTTTCTCAGGACGCAGTTGCTTTGATTGTTTATCGTGTTATTATTAATACAGGTGCTCTCTGCTGTCTCAGAAAGTACCATTCCAAAAGCATACAAAAAACAAAAAAGAGAGCGTCCGCCATTGATACCTTGAGTTTCTCATTGCCTTTTCAACTTCTTTAGGAGTATGTATCTTCTACATTGCTTCATTCTTTCTTTGTGTTGATTAATTTGTTCTCCTCTTTTTGGGTTTGTTCTTTGATTCTCTCTCTTTCTTTTTTGTCATGCCATTGGTGTTGTTTTAATGGGAGAGATATAAGTTGGGTTTTGTTTGTGATGTATGTATTTTCTGGGTTCTCGGGCCTCAGCGGTGAGTCTGGAGAACTAGCCAAATAAAGAGCCGGCGAGGTGTCTCAAGCATAGAACGGGAGTGAAAGTATTTCTTGTTCTGATATTTAAGTCCGTTCAAAATATTAAAAAACAGTATAAGAGAATGATAAAAGTGGTATAATATCGGTGATTGTATATGTCATATTTAATCGGTGGCTGTGAAAAATTCTTGGAATTCTCTCAAGTGAGATAATGGGCATAAGTTTGATTTCCTCTCGAATGTGATTTTGTTAGAGAAAAAAATGGGTTTTTATTGATTTCTGTGTTATGGTAATGTGTTCACTTTTACTGGCAGAAAATATTAAATTGATGAATTTGGCAGCCATGGAAGCAGTTGACATGAAGGTGGACATTTCCCAACAGCACTCTACCGATCCTCTTTCGTTTGCCAGAAGGTGATTCATTCTCATTTTTTCTTTTGATGGTTTAGTTGATGATGTGGGATAAAATTTCTTCTTTTTCTTTTTGTGTTCTGTACTATTGTTACCTTTTGTTTATGTCAAGAACTAATGTCGGAAGCTGTGATGTTTTCTGCATTTGTTTGTTGATGCAACAGCTACCAGATTGAAGCATTGGAGAAAGCTATCAAGCAAAACACGATAGCTTACTTGGAAACTGGCTCCGGCAAGACACTGATTGCCATCATGCTTCTCCGCAGCTATGCCTACCTCATTCGCAAGCCTTCGCCCTTTTTTGCTGTCTTCTTGGTTCCCAAAGTAGTCCTGGTTAAACAAGTATGTCAGATTACATACCCTCCTTTTTAATTCATACCGTTACTAGAAGATTAGGAAAACACTTCAGTTTTGTTGCTGAGACTTTTTGAATAGTATCTATCCCGTGTATATTTGTAGCATGCTGGAAAGCTGAGTTCAAAGAGACATTCATGGTCTAAATAGCATTTTTATATGTAATAAGTACAAAATACTGAAACAAGATTGAATTTGAGTATGATATAAAATCTTTGAGTTATTTATGTATTGATATTAGTGTTTTCTTCTTGGTTCCCAAAGTTCTCTTATTGTTTTACATGATGATTAGCAAGCTGATGCTGTGGAAATGCATACGGACTTGAAAGTGGGCAAGTATTGGGGAGATATGGAGGTCGACTTTTGGGACGATACGAAATGGAACCAAGAAATCGAGAAATATGAGGTGGATTTTTTTTCCTATATGTAACGTTTAGTTGATATGGAAGTGATGCAGAACAACTGCTTTCTTTTCCTCATCATGCCGATGATGTAGGTGCTATGTGATGTGCTGGCTTCTTCACTGACATTTTTTAACTATTATTTCAATTGTGAAATATTTCCAATTTTAAATTTATTATCTTTTTCCTTGATCTGCTTTTACATTTTAGTTTACATAATTTCAAGTTTCTGAAAACTTTTCTTTGAAGTGTTAGCTGATAAATTATACAATAAACTTTTGCTTCATGTTTATTAAGCAGTTAAAGTTGGTGTTGATCAACAGAATATTGTAGTATGTTTCTTAAGCTTAAGATACTGATTGGTCATTGGTCTGCACTCCTGAGTCCTGATACTTATAAAATGGAGCTTCTTGTGTTCCATGTATCTCTTCCTATTGATCATCGATACCAAGGTAGAGTGTGCAAAATAGTTTATTGCATACAGAGGTCTATCCTCCATGATTCAGGCCTCTAGTTTTTCACACTTCTTTGGCAGTTCAGTCATTTGCCCTTAATATATACATTGGAATAGTTTGGGTACTTGTACTTTTTCAATGAGAAATAGTGAGGCTTGTGGTTTAGAAGTATTCTACATGTCACTATTGGCTCATTGCAAAATCTGTGAATTGCAAACCATTATTGTCTTTATACCTACTCATTCACTGGCACAGGCTTCTTTTGTTGACTGGTATTGTGCATCTTTCTTTCTTTCTTACATATGGTGTATGCAGCTAGCAATAACACGTCTTTCTTACTGACAGGTGCTTGTGATGACACCTCAAATTTTACTCAATGGATTGAGGCATAGCTTCTTCAAAATAAGCATGATAAAGGTTCTGATAATGGATGAATGTCATCATACCAAAAGAAAGCACCCTTATGCATCCATTATGGCCGTGAGTTCTCTTTCTATTCATACTTATATATATATATATATTCTAATTTTGCTTACTGTATGCATTGTTGTGATGCTTATCAAATAGAAATGGCAATGAAATCAAATAGGGGGGATTTTCTTTTAATAATATAAATGTCTCCTGTAGTCAATCCTCTCAACCTGGCGTTGGGGGCAGCCTACTACCCTACCTCCCCCTTACCCCTTTGCATATGGGAATAGGGTTTTGTTGTTGTCTCCTGTAGTCAATCATACTTGTATGAGAAAAAATCATTGCATGATTTTTGTGTTGTAATAATGTCGTTTGCTAGGGAAATCAGAATTATGTTATTTTCGTAGTTCAGTTTAATTATAAATCATCAATCTACTGGAGTATTTCAGATGTAGCAATATATATATATGTGTGTGTGTGTATTAAAATCAGTTTTGCTTGAGGATTTGTTTCATTACAGGAATTCTATCATCGTCAATTGTCAGCTGGTGCGTCTAACCTTCCTAGGATTTTTGGGATGACTGCTTCCCCTATAAGCACAAAAGGTGATTCATTTAAGATTTTCATGTTTATTGGTTATTTGTTTATAGTATTTGTCTACTTGAACGTCTTACCCCTCTCTATTACCCTAGGGGCAAACTCGGTTGATGGCTATTGGCCGAAGATCCATGAGCTGGAGACCATTATGAATGCAAAGGTTAGATTTTTCATTTTTCTATGGGACTATTCTAATTCAATTCTCATTTTACATGTTCATCTTGGAGTGGAGTTATACAAGTTTACTAAGGGTCTGTTGAAATCAGTGTTTGTTAATTGGAAGGGGGAAAAGGAAGGAAAAGCATTGAGTCAAAGTATTGATTGAAGGGAAATTGAAAGGAAACTTGTCCAAAATGTATAAAAAAACTGATTTGCCTTGAGACCTTGAGCTTTTGCAAAAATGGTTACATTCCCGGTTCCCCGCCTCTGAGATGGGATTAAGCCTCAAATCCTTCTGAAACTATGGTTTATCCCCTATCATGAAATCCCTGAAACTTGTTATCATTCTTGCTGTTACATGTTTAGGTTTAGGGTTGTTTTCTACTGTATTATCTGTTGATCGTCATTTATACAACTTTCTTTTGCTTCCAAGCTTTGCTTGTTTGGAATCTCATCTACAGTTATGGGGAATGTTTAGATGGTTATTCTTCTCTCTAACAGGACTTGCACGTCAAGTCTTGACCTTTTCTTTTTGTACCTTCATGAAAATGAAATTATCTTCCTAGACAGACCTTATTAATTTTCTTTTTTATGCAATTATTCCTTTGTGTCTTAATTGTAAAATTTAAAATGAACTGCCTAGATGTGATAAGTGTTCTTCAATTCTTTCTCCTTTGCCTTTTGTCTTTTATACTGTTATGCACATGATATTTTGATGCATATAACTTTTTAAAAGATATTTTTTTCATTTCTTGCCTCTGCTTATGATTTGTTTCTTTGAGACATAATTGCGTTGTAAGGAAAATTTCATTTTAGTATTTACATGGTATATTTTCCTCCATTGAAGGTGTATACATGTGCTAGTGAATCAGTGCTTGCTCGGTTTGTTCCATTTTCGACTCCAAAATTCAAATTTTACCATCATACGGAAATACCAAATAACGTATATGCACACTTGGAAAAGGAATTGGATGTTTTTGAAAGTAAAGGTACATCTATTCTTTGTTGAAACTTTTTGATATGTTGCCCAGTTTATTGTGAGAAATTTCTTCTCTTTTGAGTCGTGTAGGAGTAAGACTTTTTTTCTAGTTAAATAAATTTGGATTTTCTTTTGACTGGTGTATCTATATTTAACTCAACTTGCACTAAGCACTACATATTTTCTTTTGGGGTGGATTTGTATCTAGAAAATATCAGGAAAAATAATTGTTTGTTATTCTTTTTCTTTATTTTTCTTTTGTTTTAATTGGGCCTGAGTCATTTGGGAGTTAGAATGTAAGGATGTTGGATGTGTGAAGACTGATTGGTGGAGTTGCTTGCAGCATCGTAATGTTAATGATTCGTTAGTGAAATTGGTTAGACCAGTGGCTACAATACAATCATCAGTATGAAAATTTTCTTTTAAAGACTATGTTTCTGACATGCTAATTTATCAAAAATATTTTTACACAGAATATGTGTGTATGTAGTATGGGAGATGCATCAGTATTTATGATGGTTCTGTTTAGCTAGTTTTAGGAATCCTAATTGCTAAGCACATTCTTGGGGTACTGTCTTGGGATGCAAACAAGCGGAATGAAAATTTTTATTCTCGTGGATTATCATTGTCTTTGGGTGTTTGTTGAAATTTAAAGGTGTGAATGGGATCCTCCTGTCCCTTGGGGCTTGGTTCATACTTTAATATGCATTCTGTACCTTTTCCCATTAGGACACTGACATTAGATGTACTGCTTTTTCAGCATGAGCATTCGTTGGACAATTTGGATCTTGAACCTTCTGCATCATTGTCTACAAGGAAAAAAATATCCAAGATACATTCAACTTTAATGTATTGTTTAGACAAGCTCGGTGTCTGGTTGGCTTTAAAGGTACCTCTTTAGACAGTAGATTTTTGCTGCTGCCAAAGTGCCATATATGTATCATTGAGTCTGTTCATTTGTAATAGGCTGCAGAATACTTATCGTGTAATGAAAATGAGTTTCTTTTGTGGGAGAAATTGGATGTGCGTGGAGAGAAAATTGTTAGGAGCTTCAGTTCGGATGCTTTCCATGCAATTCAAACATGCATAGCATCTGGTACTTTTATATTCCTCTTATTGTGAGTTAAGAATCAGTTGTTTCATCATTTTTCTTCTTATTTTTGTTGTTTTTTATTTCACCACATAGGTCCAGATTGGAGTATTGCTGATGATGTTAAAGCCAGTGTGGATGCTGGGTTTCTTACCACAAAAGTTTTATGCCTTATTGAATCTCTTTCTGAATACAGGTAACAAGGTTAACATACATTTTGATCCGTTTTTCTATTGGTTAACTAAGTGCTAAGAGAGTATTGCTGCCCTCAAGTGTTATCCTTTATGCTCTCCTATTATTTAAGATTTGTTTTTGGAGGAGTGTCAGCTGCAATAATATCTTTAATAATACAAAAGGGAAGGGCTTTTGTTTTCTTTTCACTGTTGTGCCCACTGTCGTCTCAAAAAAGGTCTAAAGGATTTTGTCAGATTTGAAAAACTTTATCTACAAACCCTCTTAATTCCATCTCCCTCATTTTTCTTCTGTTTTGCATTATTTCTTCTTGTTATGTTCTATAATGCAGGGTGTTGAAGGACATAAGGTGTATAATTTTTGTAGAGCGGGTTATGACAGCCATTGTACTTCAGTCACTATTCAGTGAATTGCTTCCAAAGAACAGTATTTGGAAGTCCAAATATGTTGCAGGAAATAGCTCTAAAATGCTGAACCAGACTAGGAATAAACAGAATGAAATTGTAGAAGAATTTCGCAGAGGGATGGTATGTTTTCATGTCATGTATAATAGGAAAATATGATTTTGTTAGCAGCTGCATTTGAATGATGGTATTCCATTCCTGCAGGTTAACATTATTGTTGCTACTTCTATTCTTGAAGAAGGATTGGATGTCCAATCATGCAACTTAATCATCAGATTTGATCCTTCATCAAACATTTGTAGTTTCATACAGTCTCGAGGACGTGCTAGAATGGAAAATTCAGACTATCTGTTAATGGTGAAGAGGTAATAATCTATATTTCTATTCCTTCCCATATATTATTTCTCAAATTTTAAAAATCTTTATTGCTAGTGCTACCATAGTTAACTTGTTAATACCTTTAAATTAATATGCAATCATATTTGGTAAAAAAAAACTGTTATTAATTTGCTTATTTTTGTATTTTTGAGTAAACTATATCACGGATCTTCTTATGTTCTTAACAAGTGCTTCTGGTTTAATTACTTAGTGGGGATTTTAAAACACAATCTCGACTGAAGGAGTATCTTACTAGTGGAGATGTAATGAGAAAGGAATCGTTATGCCATGCATCCGATCCTTGTTCTCCTCTTAGTAATGATTTATACAATGAAGAGTTCTACCAGGTTGCAAGTACAGAGGCATGTATGACTCTTAGTTCTAGTGTTGGTTTGGTATACTTCTATTGCTCACGTCTCCCTGCAGATGGGTTAGTAATTCTTAGTATTTACTTATAGTACATTCTAGTTATAGTGTTATTATCATTGTGCACATGGGTTAATGTTTTTGCTTCTTTCTCGTGTTTGTTTGTTCTCTTTACGTATTTTAAACCTAGTCCAAGGTGTATCAAAGACAAGCAATTGGGGATTTGCACCATCCATCTACCCAAGAGTTCCCCTATTCAATCTGTTTCTGTCCAGGGAAACATTAAAAACCTAAAGCAAAAGGCATGCTTTGAAGCATGCAAGCAGCTCCATCAAGTTGGTGCTTTAACGGATAATCTTGTGCCTGATATTGTAGTGGAGGAAAATGATGGAGAAGAAACTGGTAACAATAATGCATGCCTATGTTTTCTTTATCTTCAACAATCTTTTATGCGATTTCAATATACTTAAAGATGTTAGAAGTAGTATCTAACATTCCCCCATTTTATGTAATTATTTGATTTGTAGGAAAAGAACCCTATCACGACGTTCAACCGATTTTCATTCCACCTGAACTGGTTACTCGGGGTTTACAGGAGTCCCTGACAAAGTATTACTGCCACTTAATAGAGTTGAAGCAGAACTATGACTATGAGTTTCCAGTTCATAACATCATGCTTCTTTTGAGAAGTCAGCTTGAAATGGATAAAAAAAGTGTGGGTATCAAATTGGAAGTTGATAGGGGTACTTTAGCAGTTGATTTGAAATATGTTGGACCAATAAGTCTTGATTCTGACCAGGTACTATTTCTTGTTTTATTTAATTTTTTAAAATATTATTGTTCTAATGTGGTAAAAATAAAAAATATTTAGTAAGCCATTCGGATTTTAACATTTTCCCCTCTTTGCACCTGTCCGTTCTGATAGGTTAACTTGTGTAGAAGGTTTCAGATTTCCATTTTTCGAGTTCTTATGGATCGTAAAGTAGAAAAGTTGACAGAGATGTTATGTGACCTTACGTCAGGAAGTTCTGACATTGATTACCTTCTTCTGCCATCCAATTACGTTGGCCGAAATCCTGCAATTGATTGGTTATCAGTTTCTTCTGTCTTATTTTCTTATGAAAAGGTATGGAATTATCACAAGAATTGTAATGCTGGTATGATACAGACCAAAAGTGGTCCACTCTGTACTTGCATGATTCAGAATTCGTTGGTCTCTACCCCGCACAATGGCCATGCCTATATTATCACTGGTTTTCTAAATGATTTAAATGCGAATTCACTTTTGAGTCTGAGTGATGGAAGCAAAATGACCTATAAGCAGTATTATGAACAACGGTAAGCACCTGTTCAGTATTTTTATGAAGAATTAATGTGGAATACGTGATACTTATTTTATTGTTAGTAACCCAATTCTCATGTGACATTACAGCCATGGTGTCAATTTGCATTTTACTCGAGTCTCTTTCCTTTCTGGGCGACACATTTTCCCTTTACAAAATCACCTTACAAGGTGCAGAAGACAGAAAAAGAAAGGCATGTTTTCACTTATCATCTTGTTTTCTAGAGACTAGAAAGATAGCTGCATATGATTTTGGCGATTGAATTCAGCATTTTAGCATAAGTTTGATATCGAAGGTGTTCTGTAGAAATAACAAATCTTGTTCAGAATGTCCAGTACAAAATCGGTTGTCCTTTGAATTTTTCAATTGGTGAAAGAGAATGCACTTTTTCTCTTTTTCTCATCATTTAGAGTATTCATATCAATTCAGTATAGTTTGTTCAGATTTGTTTTGATCTTTTAAATTTTGTTTTATTTATTTTGCAGAATCAAGTAATGCATTCGTTGAATTGCCTCCTGAACTTTGTGACGTCATTATGTCTCGCATATCGATTAGCACGTTTTATACTTTCACATTTCTTCCATCCATAATGCATAGGATAGAGTCTTTGCTCCTTGCTACCAGCTTAAAAAAGATGCATCTCGATCACCCCGTGCAAAATGTTGCTATTCCAACCATGAAGGTAAGCATATCTTTGTCAGCTATGTATAATCTGAAAGTTAAGCATTGTAATGCAATTCACTTGGTTCAACTATGCTCTGTAGATTTTGGAGGCAATTACCACGAAGAAGTGCCTAGAATGTTTTCATTTGGAATCATTGGAGACTCTTGGTGACTCTTTTCTGAAGTACATCGTTTGCCAGGAGCTATTCAAAAGATATCGGAATCATCATGAGGGCCTTCTTAGTATCAAGAAGGAGAAAATCATTTCAAATAAATCTCTTTGCATGCTAGGATGTGACAAGAAGCTTCCGGTAAATTTTCCTCTAGATATTTGTTTAATTTATTCGATCATGTTATCATCGAGGTGTTTTTATCCCTTTTTGGATCAGTTCTCTCTTTAATATGCTCTTGAAACTCCCAAAACTGCAGGGATTTATCCGTGATGAACCTTTCGATCCCAAAAAATGGATGATTCCTGGTTGTCGTTCAGGAATCTATACTTTCAATGAGGAGACACTGTCTAATGAAAAAATATATGTTCGCGGGAGAAGAAAGATGAAAAGTAAAAGGGTTGCCGATGCTGTTGAGGCACTTATCGGTGCATACCTTAGCACTGGTGGCGAAGCTGCTGCCTTATTATTTATGGATTGGCTTGGTATTACTATCGATTTTACAAATAAACCGTATGAAAGGCAGTTTCAAGTACAAGCTGAGAAACATGTTAACGTCCAGTATATGGAGACGCTCCTTAATTATTCGTTCAAAGACTCTTCTTTGTTAGTGGAAGCACTAACCCATGGTTCTTATATGCTTCCTACAATTCCAGGATGTTATCAGGTTAGTTCAGGGATAGTCGGGCTATACGAATGACATTAAAATTGTGTCATTTCATTTGTATCTTGATGTTTTATGATTCCACGTCGTCAATTCCGTTTCTCTTCCGTTTAACTTGACCATAATTAAATTCTTTTCCGTGCAGCGGCTGGAATTTCTTGGGGATTCCGTTTTAGATTACCTTATTACGCTGCATTTTTATGATAAATATCCTGGGATCACGCCAGGATTGTTAACCGATTTGAGGTCGGCATCCGTTAACAACAATTGCTATGCATTATCAGCTGTCAAGTCCGAGTTGCATAAGCACATTCTCCACGGTTCACAGAAGCTACACAAGGACATAAAAGAAACTGTCCAAAGTTTCCGGGATTCGTCGTTGGAGTATACTTTTGGTTGGGAATCCGAAAAATCTTTCCCCAAGGTGTGTTATCAGATTACATTTACTGTTAACATAAATCATTGCTGTAAACTCTTTTGAATGTTTCTGTAATTTATCTAAATGTTATTCTTAAACTTTGGCAGGTATTTGGGGATGTGATGGAATCACTTGCCGGGGCCATATTTGTCGATTCAGGATACAACAAGGAAGCCGTGTTCCGGAGTATAAGGCCGCTGTTGGAGCCCATGATTACTCCCGAAACAATGACGGTTCACCCTGTGAAAGAGTTGCATGACCTCTGTCAAAAGGAACAATATGAGCTGAGAAAACCCGTTGTTTCGAGCGACAACGGCGTTTCTTCTATTACTGTCGAGGTCGAAGCGAATGGCAGGGTGTTCAAGCACACATCGACGGCATCAGATAAGAAGATGGCAAAGAAACTGGCTTCAAAAGAAGTTTTGAAGTCGCTCAAGGAGGCCAATTTTAGATAAAGCCTGCTTTAGACTTTGTGCGCTCTTCTTGAAAAATTCTCCAAAGCTTGTTATTTATTCATTCATTTATAATTATAATGGTATGAAATCCTTCATCATCATTTATGGTATGAAAATCCTCCGTTGCCTATTCTATTGATTTGAAACCATATTCTAAAATTGAAAAAAATGGTTAGGGTAAAATACACAAATGGTCCTTGACTATAGGGTATTTTTTATTAAATTTCTCAACTATTAAAAATTACAAAATGATTCTTCTACTATAGAATGTTGTTTTGTTAAGTCCATCAACCATAAAAAGTAACAATGGTTATTCAATTATTTATTATGTTTCAAATTCATCTTTTTCTATTAAAAAATTGGAGATTGTTTAAATGGACGATAACATTTTAAGTGAGATAAGATAGTCATTTGTGATTCTGAGATCAGATTTTTATCATATCACAGTCATTATGTTAACGTCTAGTTCAGAATACCATCAATCTTTTTAGCAAAAAAATGATAAGTTTTGAATATAATAAATAGTTGAGTGACTGTTTTGTAACTTTTAATAGTCGAATGACTCAACAAAGCAAAACTCTACAATCAAATGATTATTTTGTATATTTTAACAATTGAGGGATTTAATAAAGCAGTACTATCTTGTTTGTTACATGAACTCTAGCTCCGTATTATGTCACGTGTCTGATTCTCGGTAAAGACGCGCTTCATGATCTGCGCTTTACCATCGTGACACTAGCTCGGATAGAATCTTACGAAGACGCAGATTATGATCTATGCTTTTTCACTATTTTTCACTGTGACGCCAGTTCAAACAAAACCCTACGAAGGCACGCCTCATTCTAGCCCACGTTTCGATGCGAGAAGCTTTTTGTGGGTTTAAGTAAGTCGAGGTTCATCGGCGACACGATTCGTTCTTTAAATCGGAGTTTGTTAATTTGCATAAGAATCCCATAGCCAGTACTGATGAAGCCTCTTGTCTTTCTTATTACACAACAAGCGAGGGAAGCAGCAATAACATGTTATATCTCTGCGTTACTGTAGTTTTGCACTCTCCAGCATAGGCAATAGATTATTACTTCTTTCGTATGTTGCCCACAAAGCTAATTGTGTTTGTTATGTTAAATTAATTAGTTACTATTTGTCTATGTTCATGCTATTTTTTTTGATTAAATAGAGCTTTTTTATCATTCGGATTGACTATGATTGTTTTATTCATTAAAAAAAATTTAAAGAAAAAAAGGACTTTTGTTGTCGTTATCGATAGAAATCATTAATTTTATTCAAAATATGAAATATCTCAATTATAATCGTAAATTAAGCATTTAGTAAGGATAATTTTTTATTATCAATGAAATAAATTAACAAGTTAATATTACATAAGAACCATACAACGAAAAATTAAAATTCAACCAAGAAATTCGAACAAAGATATACACAAATAGATTTGATCACATCGATAAATGAAACACAAAAGAGATTGAAGCTACTGAAAGATCACTGACAAATTGTAAATCAAATTCAGTAAATCAAACTTGAGTGACGTGAAAAGATATTCACGAACGTATAACATGTATCCAAATCCAATCCAATAGTCTAAAGAAGGAAGATCAACAATATAAATGTCATCTTAATCAATCGTAATGGAAAAGGATTCAAAGTGATATAATACAAAAAAAGAACCGAGTTCTTTTTTTTAGTCTATCTAAAATAAAATAGAAGATCATATGAAAAATGTGACTGATTCTTTCGTTTCCTTGGGTCACTGGTCATCTGATGGGAGTTTCGGGTTAATATTGATATTTAGCAATAAATCTAATAAATCTGAGTTTAGCCCTTGGTGTATTGATCTTTTTTTGGAAAAGGAGTGTGTGCGAGTTGTTTATTTTAATAATAGGCTAGATTTACCCGGTTGTACTTTTTTTCATTATAACTAGGAAAACAAAAAGTGCATGACCCCGCGAATAACTTCTGAATAAATTTTTAAAATTATATTTAAGAACCGTAGCATTTTGTGATTCATTGGTACATCGACTTTAATTCTCTATTAATCAATAATCTATGACCATTAACATGGTTAAGGTCAAACCGTTTGAAGTTCTGATGTAACAGGGTACTCTTTTTACTATTTACTAAATATAGAAAGATTTTCAAAACAAAAATATTTTTTTGATAAAAAATACTCATGTCAAATCAATCTTTAAAAAATATAAGTGAGAACAACGCTCAAATGACTAAAAAGCGTGTCAAAAGATAGAAAAAATATGCTATAAATAAAAATGTATCATATAAATATATTTATTGAAAATGAAAAATTAAAAAAATAATAAATAATAAAGAATATCAACGGTTCACAACTAACAATAAAATTAATATCGGTGCGGATTAAATAAATTAAAAATTGAAGGATAAATACGTACTAACGAGGGAAAACTAGAAAACTATCAGAAAAAGATTAAGAGAAAAACTTGGGGGCACAGACATGGGCGATTTTCCCCAAAAATCACTGGTGATCGGTATATATATCGATCTAACACCGGTCATATTATATTTCCTGATCTAACACCCGTAGCAGTAAAGTTTGCCCCCTGAACCGCGCTATATGCTGATTTGGCGCCGCGTGGAGTATAGCTTGCTCCCTGTACCGCGCTATATGCTGATTGGGTTACACATGGGGTATAGCGCGCCCCCTGCTCCGCGCTGTACACCACATAGGGGTATAGCGCGGATCAGGGGCCGCGCTATACACCGTACCAAAATTATATTTAACACGGTCCCTGATCCGCGCCTTATATGTTTATAAATACCTCCGGTTCTCGCATCTCTCCTCACATCTCCTCGCATCTCTCATCTCTTATAAATTAATACAACAATTACATCAACGAATAATAATTCTGGCAATCTTCTTATATTTGATTTAGAAGTTCGTGCGATTTTTCGTTATAAGGTAATTTTGTTATAATTTTTTAATTATACTTATTGTTTATTATCATTATTTGAAAAAAATATTATACTAATTATTTTTAATTAATTTTTATGTTTGTAAAATTGAAAAGCAGGAGCATACGTCGAAATAGTTTTGCGGTGCAGGTAATAATATAAAATTATATTATTTAAATTATTTACGTTGATGTGTAAAAAAAATTTGTGTTATATTTTCGTTCATATATAATTTATTTAATCAGGTTTGTTTAAGTTATTTTTTTGCAGATATAATATTGTCGCACTTTTAAACTCAAAGAATGGCGCGACTTTCAGCTATTGTTTATTATAATGGTGAAATTCGAGAAGATGAAACCGTCGTTGTTTTCGTATCAAATGAGCATGTTAAAATATCATTCAAGAGAAACATAACTCTTGAGGAGTTGATAACGAAGATTTCGAGGAAGATTCATGTTGGAAGTAACAGAAGAATGTCGTTGCAGTACAGATTTCCAACATCATTGTTGCCATTAACTTATACAGCGTTCGAACTTTCGAACAATGATGATGTTCAAATGATGGTTGAAGCTCAAAGTAATTATTCAGACGTCGCTATTGAGATGTATGCACATTTTGTTCAAGTGTGTGTTGTTCGGGGTCAATCTTTAAGCTCACACTATGGGCTGGCTGAACAAGTTGATCAAGTTAACAGCCCGACTACAGTAATGTGTAATGATTTTAATGCCATAATGGGGAGACATTCATCCGCAACTCCTTATGATATGTATCGAGGTGGGTCCACGAACAATCCGTATGGCAACACCGCGTCCAGTTCAAGGGGAAGGCATTCATCTGCAAATTTCTTTGACCATATGGAGATGCCATCGACGCAACCATCTGTGCAGTTTCCATTTGACATGATGGCTTCAAGCTCCAGGGGGAGGCATTCGACTGCGAGCTTTTTCGATCTCAATGTCGATATGTCTTCTAGTTCAAGGGGAATGCATGCAAGTAGTAGGTTCTTCGACTTAAATGTGGAGAGCATGGAGGAACCATCATCTCCACCAGAAGAACCGCTTCGTGAGCCTGGTGCGGATGGTGCTGAGACTGGACTATTCATTCACCCAGAATCACCGCAATTCAACTCCGATGATGATGAAGTTCCAGGAAATGTGGCACAAACTGACCCTCCTGCACATATGTATGAAGCTGATTATGGTGCAATGTACGGGCCAGAATTTGCTGATATGCCTCATCTCGGTGACTATGGATATTACTCATCAATAAATAATGGTGAGTTATCTTTAGGCATGGAGTTTTCAAGCAAAGAAGAAGCGATGATGGCTATCAAAAATTACAATATCCGTAATTCTGTTCAGTCCAGAGTCAACCGATCGACGACCAAAAATTATGTATGCTACTGTGCCCGACGCAAAAATGGATGCAATTGGATGGTTCGCTTATCGAAAATGAAGAGGAAAAATAACATATGGGAACTAATAGTATACAATGGTCCTCACACATGTTGTACTGGAGGGGTCAACCAAGATCATCCCAACTTGGACTCTGAAGTGATATACCAAGCCATTATGCCCATGGTAAAAGCAAGCTCTCATATAGCTATTGCAGTGTTGATTTCAGCTATACAATCGCAGTATGGGTACACCGTCTCTTATAAAAAAGCTTGGTTGGCAAAACAAAATGCCATTGTCAAACTTCATGGCGAATGGGATGCATCTTACAACGAACTTCCAGGTTGGTTTAGGCTGGTGCGGACGTTGAATCCTGGGACAATTGTGAACTTCGAAACCTCCTATGCATACCATAATGATCGAGTTCTTCGCGATCGATGCCAATTCTACCGGGTTTTTTGGAGTTACCCACAGTGCGTTAATGCTGCTAAATGCTACAAGCCTGTGGTCCAGATCGACGGGACTTTCTTGTATGGAAAATACAAGCAAGTTTTATTATTGGCAGTTTTCCAAGATGGCAATCGCAACATTCTTCCAGTTGCTTTTGCTCTTGTCGAAGGAGAAGATACAGATTCTTGGGCTTTTTTCCTTCGAAATTTACGTGAACATGTTATCACGAGGGAAAAAATCTGTGTCATTTCAGATCGCGGAGCTGTGATCAAAGCAGCAATGGAGTCTTTGGGTCCAATGTGGCAACCACCCTTTGTCCAACATAGGTATTGTCTCCGACACATTGCTGCGAACTATCATGGAAGGTACAAGAAGAATGATGAATGTCAATTAATTGTGTGCATGGGTAAGTGAAAGCAAGTTAGTAAGTTATACATTTTTTGATCATTTTAATTTTGCAAAGAAAGCAAGTTAGTAAGTTATACATTTTTTGATCAGGCTACGAACTACTTCCTCGAACGTTTGAATCAATGCTTCAAGATTTGCGGGCGAAGAACGAGGAAGAATACGATTACATCAGCCTCATCAATAAAGAAATGTGGACGAACACATATGATGGTGGATATCGATATGGACACATGACGACCAACTTGGCTGAGGCAATCAATTCAACCTTAAAGGGTGCACGTCACTTACCTGTAGCGGCTTTGGTAAAAACTACATATTTTCGTTTGGGGGCGCTTTTTGTGAAGCTCGGGGGACAAGCTCAAACCTGGATACAAGACGGTCATGTCTATCACCCTAGCTTAGTTGCAGATCTACAGAAAAAAATTGTTGCATCAAATGGAATGTCTGTAACCGCGCTATACCCCACGTGTCAGATACCAGGTATAGCGCGGATCAGGGGGCGCGCTATATCCACGTGGCTCCATATCACCGTATATCGCAGGGCAGGGGGCGCTATACCCACATGGTGCCAAATCAGCGTATAGCGCGATTCAGGGGGGCGCTTTACTGCTACGGGTGTTAGATCAAGAAATATAATCTGACCGGTGTTAGATCGATAAATATACCGATCACCGGTGATTTATTGGGAAAATTGCCCACATACATGTCTTGATATTATGATTTTTTTTTAGAAAAATACTTTAACATGTGAGATCAACATTGATTAACAAGTAACAGTAGTGATGATAATAGAAATAAATCTAAAATTATAGTGACTAGAATGTATATTTTAAAAGATTTATGAATAAAGTAAAATATAGAAAACGTTTAGTGACTACCAGTGTAGTTTACCCTGTGTTATAAGCAGAAAAAAATTTCGCTGCTCTTTACTTTCCTTCGCTTTCATATCCTCTGCGCTCTCTTCCGCATCTTTGGATCGGAGCAGCATCCGTTTCGTAATCCGACAGTCGAGATGGCTCTATCGTACCTGCGCTCTTCTTCTTCCCGCTCCGCCAATTTACTAAAGCCACTTTCCTCCGGCTTATCCCTCCGCAGCCCTATCTCCACCGACACCACTCCCATAACCGTCGAGACCTCCGTCCCTTTCACCTCTCATCGGTGCGATGCTCCCTCACGCTCCGTCGAGACCAATCCTAAGGAACTCCTCACCTTCTTCCGAGACATGGCGTTGATGCGTCGGATGGAGATCGCCGCCGACTCACTCTACAAGGCCAAACTCATTCGCGGTTTCTGCCACCTGTACGACGGCCAAGAAGCATTCGCCGTCGGAATGGAAGCCGCCATAACCAAAAAGGATTGCATCATAACCGCCTATCGTGATCACTGCACATTCATGGGCCGCGGTGGTACCCTGCTGGAAGTTTTCGCTGAGCTAATGGGACGCCAGGCTGGATGTTCTAAGGGAAAAGGAGGTTCGATGCATTTTTACAAGAAGGATTCGAATTTTTACGGCGGTCACGGGATTGTTGGGGCTCAGGTTCCGCTGGGATGTGGCTTGGCGTTTGCGCAAAAGTATTCTAAAGATGAAACTGTGACATTTGCTATGTACGGTGATGGAGCAGCTAATCAAGGGCAGTTGTTCGAGGCCCTGAATATCTCTGCACTATGGGATCTGCCTGCAATTTTGGTCTGCGAGAATAATCACTGTGAGGAATATGAATTTGGAAGAATTTTATAGGTTTATAAATCAACGTATTTGTGGATTTTTTAAAATATTTATCTGATGCTATGCAGATGGTATGGGGACAGCTGAGTGGAGAGCCGCGAAGAGTCCAGCGTATTACAAACGTGGGGATTATGTTCCTGGTTTGAAGGTGAGAATTAATTCCTTTGGGAGCTTGACACAATAATTGTGGTATTGGAGTTATAGTTTTTCTTTTTTATAGAAATGTTATTGTGATTCTTGAAAGAAATTAAGGTTTTTGATGTTTAGTATTTGAATTAACTGACCAGCAGATGTCATGATACTGAATGCTAAAAAACTGCAATTGTTGGGATTTTCAGTTATGTTAAAGTGCTTCTTATGCTAATTCAAATTGGATATTTATGTTCTTGTTGTAATAATCCTTTTAAATTAGAACCTAAATGATTGAATGAAGTTCTACAAAAGCAGAATCCCAAGGGCTTTTTACTGCTTATACTGTTGGGTTATCGGTATTTAAGTTTGTTTTCTTCTAAGGTTTGAGAGTTTGATACAAAAGAATGTGTTCGTTTAGATCTATAAAGTGAAAACTTCTTATTCAGCCTTAGAGATGTAAGGATTGCTATCATGTCTAGGTTTGAGATATTGCATGTTAATTTCCCTTTTTTTCCAAAAGATAGACAACAGTGTGCTTGTTTACCATGAGTGGTTCTATTTTTCTTATACTTCACATCTTCTAGGTGGATGGCATGGATGCCCTCGCTGTGAAGCAAGCTTGCAAGTTTGCCAAAGAACATGCCTTGAAGAGTGGACCAATAGTAAGTTTATTCATCCAGCTCTTGAAATTTTTACTGTGTCCATTTTATTAGGCATACCATTTTTCTTATACTAGTTTTTACTTATTGAAGGTTTGAATCAACATATTCTGCTTGATAAGACTTTGATTTTCTTTGTTGTTCTTTGACTTCGTTATATCTTAATACTAGTTTCATTTGTATTATCTTAATTTTAGTTACTCCTTTAGACTGTGATGGGAAGAGTGTTAAAGTACAAGAGCACGTAGTAAGATAGACCAATGCAGGAAACTTGTTACCTTGGGATTGGTAGAGTGCCTTGCTAACTAGTGTCTAGATCTCTGAACCGCTGGTACTGTCCCATTTTGACAATATCATGTTTGGATAAAAGAAGAGTATAAAAGGGAAGTGAAGCAAAATTATATTTTTCTATTTATTTGTAGAGAATAAGAGAAATGGAAAAGTGATCCAATTAAATTTCTATTTGCCTTTAGTTACTTGGATATTGGGTGAAGTAATACGTGAAAAATCGAGATGAAATCAAAATTGAAGAAATATGTCGGGAGTATCCTCGTAGGGATTTAAAAAGTGGTTGGATGATAAGTTGGCACTGCTTGGAGGAATTTATCGTGCTACCTGAGATACAGCCTTGGAAGGTTAATCTTATCTACATAAATTGAATCATTTATCCTTGCAACAGGGTATGTTTTCTATTTAGACACTTTGTATAAATCACGTCCATATATAGGCTTACAGCAAATTTCTGAAGCGCCTTTAACTTATGAATCTCGATTTTGGCACTCAAATTCCAAGTCATCTGATTCATAACTGCATGTTGAGTTATCATATCTGGTTCAAAATGAATAGCACCATAAACTAGCTGAAACATAGTAGAGCATATTCCGAACAAACATTGGAAAAAATTCTTGAGAAGTCTTCACGGCTGTATCGATGCTTGAGAAGTCTTCATGGCTGTATCAATGCTCGTATCGATGCTTGAGAAGTCTTCATGACGTGAAAAGTTAGGTGTAAAATTTATTAAGGTCTAGTGTAAACATATCTTCCAAACATTATAGAAAAGAGGAGCATTTATGCTCTTTTACTCGTGTTTTATGAGATTCATGAATCTTCAATTTCAGATGCTTGTGATCAACCGCTTCTCTTAGGCTCCGAGGATGTTTTGTATGGCTATCATATAATTCCTTCTTTTTTGCTGATATCTGATCCTTCAGCTTCTCTAATTAAGCATTCCTTTTGAGTTTCCATTGCTGTTTATGACGCAAAACTAGCATACTGTTCTAAAATAAGTTGGGCCTTATAGGATGATCCCTGCAACTCCCAGGATGCTTTCCATGGGATTATGGGAAAGTATGTTTGGTGTTTGCTATGGGAAAGTATTCTAAAGCTCTCTAATGCATGATTGTGTGGTATCAATACCTTGTTATGTGTTGGTACTAGATTTTTTGTTTCAGATGCTTTGCCCCTGTAATTTTTTTTAATTAACTAAATAAATATGAGTATATTATAATTTCGAAGCCAGAAGATGCTATAAACTGAAGAATGAAGTAAAAGGATTTTGTCTTTAATCCTGTAACTTACATCAGTTTAAAGGTGTGAAAACTGTATTCTCTTTGATGCCTAAATATGTGTGATTCTGCATGTTGTGGGTCTTTAGATAATGATGCATTTTTATCAAAGGAATTATTGTACCTTTGCATTCTATCTGTTTATCTGAGGATACCTTTTTATTTGCTGCTACTTCCCTTTTGAAATCTCCTACTATTTTTATATCTTGTAGCACTATTGATTTTGATTCCTGTGCTTCTATGCAGATTCTTGAAATGGACACCTATAGGTATCATGGTCACTCCATGTCTGATCCTGGAAGTACCTATAGAACACGTGATGAGATTAGTGGTGTTAGACAGGTTGACAATTCGCACCACTAGGACTCGTTCATTAAATGTTGGATATTTCATGTATTTTAATCAAGTTACTAGAAAACTCACTTTCTAGATGTTATGTTTCTAGGAGCGTGATCCAATTGAAAGAATTAGGAAGCTGATATTATCCCATGACCTGGCTTCTGAGAAAGAGTTGAAGGTACTTAAGTTTTCATTTATGAAACTTCCTCATTGAAATGTTAATAGGGGCTTGTTTGTGGCAACACAATTCTCAAAATATTGGGGAAAAATTTCAGGACATTGAGAAGGAAGTGAGAAAAGAGGTGGACGATGCAATCACTCGAGCAAAGGTAATGTGCTTTTTTTTTGCTGCTCTCATTTTAATTGATTTGAATAAAGTTATTTGCATGTGATTTTATTTTAAAGTTTCTTCTAGTTTTCTGATACCAGATGGGTTTACACATCATTGATTCTTTCTCCTTCCTTTTCCCAGGAAAGTCCAATGCCTGAGCCTTCAAAACTCTTCACAAATGTGTATGCCAAAGGTTTGGGTGTTGAGGTATGAATCCTTTTTGGAGCTTTATATTTATTATTTGCTTGTCATTTATCTTTGGAATGTTCGTCCACTCAGGTAAATTTTGAAGTCTGCAGTGAATGATTGGCTTGCTTTTTATTTGCTCGAGTAACATTGCTCAAAGATTAAAGGTTACTGTGAGATGAGTAGTCCTTGAAATGTAGAGCTTTGCTGAAACTTCTCTTCCATCATGAATCTGTTTTGAAGAGTTAGTTAATAACACAAATTATATCTGTTAGTTTATTATTCCCAAGTTTTTCATGGAAAATGTTATGATGATCCTTTAGCTGGTGTATACAGTTAGGCATAGACTATCCAATTTAGGGCTTCCGTGATTATCTAGCATGATCCTTAGCCTGCTTGGATGGGTAGAGTTGAAGATCATTGGTCAGAAGGAACTGATTCAAAGTACTTCAGTTTCTTAACCAAAGCATTAATTTTTTTCTGGGGGATTTGTCTCTAGATTAGAAAAACTCGCCTGGTTTAATGACCCATGAGAAGCTCAATGCAATTCCTTGTGTGTGTTTGGGCACACCCATGATCCTTATCCTGTTTGTTCATGATACGGTTAAAAATACAACTATTGTACATTTTTCTCTGTTTATCGGATTTAATGATCTCTATTTTGGTTTTAAACTGCAGTCATTTGGAGCAGATAGGAAAGAAGTAAGAGCTACACTTCCATAAATCAAGTTTCGTTTAGAACATTTTAAGCTCTTAACTTGTTTTTGGACGAACAATAAAGTAGGCAAGGGAAAGGTGTTTGAATCCATCAATTTGATATTGCACTTGGTTCTATTTGTATAGAATACTTGATTTAATTATTTCCGGTTGAGCTGATGCCCCTACGGCCACGGTTTCAGATTCTTTGCCTATGAACCGATTAAATTTATGAATAGGTTGCTGTTGGCCTAGCAGTAATGTATGAATAACCCTCTAGTTTTGGTTTTGGTTAACGGCGGAGGTGCTGTTAAACTGGAATTGCTAATGGTATCCATGTATGAAAAATCAGCAAATGCAGGAGGTTTAATTGTAGCATACAAATAATCATAATAGACGGCCAAAATTTTCACGGTTAAACTGTGACACCCGCGGCAAGTTTAAGCAGAGCAAGAAACTCGCCGCTTTCACGGGCTGCCAATGTCATAATTCTAAAAGGAGGAGATCATGATTGTTAGAATTCCTAAGATTCAAGGACAGAATACTTACCTTAGTCCTAGGAGTTACCTTGTATAGTAGGATCTAATCTTAGTCTCTAATTCTTAGGAAGTTACTGATTTTTAGGGATTGTTTCTTTATTTGTACTTAGTTCTCCATATAAAGGCTGTAAATTAATTAATAAAAAAGAACAATCTTCTTTTTAAGTTTGTTCATGGCATCAAAGCTTTAAGAATTTTTTGATCATGTCATCTATAATCTCTCGTCCTAAATGTCCCTTCTATTTAATCTCTCTTGCCTCCTGTTTTATTCCTTCCCATGGGTGACATTGTCGAAACTTTATCTGAGACTGAAACCTCACAAATGATTCCAAATAGCAATCAATGAACCCCTCAAGGGGACCTTAATTCCTCTCTTGTAATCACTAACCATCGACTAGATGGGAAAAATTTTCTGCATTGGTCTGAATCGATCATGGTGATTTGTAGTCGTGGCAAATTAGGATATATCAATAGACATCCCACGACCAGCCACAATAAACCCAACTTATAGCACTTGAGAACTCAACAACTAGATTGTAATGGCTTGGTTAATTAATTCAATGGAATGTCATATTAGTCGCACCTACCTCTTCTTCAAAACTGCAAAAGATATATGGGATGCAATCAAAGAAAATTACTTAAATCTTAAATGCCTCCCAAGTATTTGAGATCAAACTGAAGTTGAAGGATATCCGACAAGGAACACTTAAAGTAACTTACTATTACAATAAGCTGAAGTAACTTACTACTACAATAATCTGAAAACTACTCGGATCTTAAAATGCCTCCCAAGTATTTGAGATCAACTGAAGTTGAAAGACATCCACTACTGCAGATGAAGCTCTCAATGTTCGCCTAACCAAAACTCGACTTGAGACCCTCCATAGGATACTTGGTACTTATATTTCTCATGGATACCTAGGTAAACCAATGTTCCTTTGGAAGAACTTACATGGAGCGATAGCTGATGACTTTAGGAGTAAGATTTTGTCTCATACAGGTTTTGGAATTAGAAACTCAAATAATGCAGATATGTTATGAAAAAATATGGCAAATTCCATCAGAGAGGTGGGCAAAAACACCCTTGGGTTGTCGACAGGGAGGGTCAAAGAACATAAAGAATCGTGGTGGTGGAAAGACGAAGTCCAAACTAAGGTGAAGACAAAGCAAACTTTCTTCAATGAGTTCCTACAATGCAATGACGATGAAGAAAGATTGAGAGCTAAACAAAGATACAAGGAGGCAAAGCGGGAAGCCAAGAAAACAGTGGCTAAAGCAAAGGATAAGGCATGCGAGGAAATGTAAAAGAGATTAGACACCAAGGAAGGACAAAACGGCATCTTCAGGCTTGCAAAATCCAAGGAGAATAGGAAAAAGGATCTAGGTAGCATTAGGTTTATTAAGGACAACAATGGTGTTCTTTTAGTGAAAGATCATGATATTCAAAGGGTTTGGGGTAGTTACTTCATTCGGATTATTTAATGATGGTGCTTCTCCCTGTAGAGATAATATCGTTGATGGATCAGCCGACTATCACCTATGACCAATGACTACCCTACTAGTAGGATTGGGATTGAGGAAGTCAAAATGGCTCTTAGAAAGATGGGGAGGGACAAAGCTGTCGATACAGATCAAATTCTTATCACTGTGTGGTTGGCCCTAGGAGACGATGGAGTTAAGTGGTTGACCAACATCTTTAATATTATTTTAGAGACTGCCAAGATGTCAGAGGAGTGGAGAGAGTCTACAGTGATACCAATCTATAAGAATAAAGGAGATCCCCAACGTTGTGGTAACTACGGAGGTATTAAACTACTCAGTCATACCATGAAGCTATGGGAAAGGGTGATAGAGACTAGGTTGAGACAGATTACTAGGGTTTCAGAAAACCAATTTGGCTTTATGCCAGACATGTCTACTACGGAGGCGATTCATCTACTTCGATGGTTTATGGAGAAATATAGGGGAAAATAGAGACCTTCACATGACGTTCATTGACCTTGAGAAGGAGTATGATAGTGTTCCCCGCGATACGATCTGGAAGACCTTGGAAACGAGACGGATCTCAACTGCTTATATCCGGGCGATTCGTGATATGTACTGTAGATCTACTACTTACGTTATGACTACAGTTGGTGACACCGAGGCTTTCCCGGTGAAAATCGGACTCCACCAAGGGTCGGCTCTTAGCCCTTACATCTTCTCCTTGATTATGGACGACATCTATTGTGCGACACCAGATGATGTTCCATGGTGTATGCTTTTCGCTGACGACATTGTCCTAGTTGTTGAAACAAAAAATTAGCTAAATAGTATACTGGCTACCTGGAAGACTGCTTTGGAAGAAAAATGTTTAAGGATCAATATTGAAAAGATATAGTATTTATGTTCAAACTTCAGTGGGAACCAAAATGATGAAGATGTAGAAGTATGCATCGAAGGACACGTTCTCCCCTCAAAGGATTGTTTCAAATACCTAGGGTCTATGATACATAAAGATGGGGGTATAGATGATGACGTTACACATCGTATAAAGGTGGGATGGCTAAAGTGGAGGGCTGCAACTGGAGTTTTGTGTGACAAGAAGGTGCCTCTAAAACTTAAGGGAAAATTTTATAGAATGGCAATAAGACTAGCGCTGCTGTATGGATCAGAATGTTGGGCAATCAAGAAAGATCACATAAGGAGGATGGAGGCCGCAGAAATGAGAATGCTTCGATGGACATGTGGTAAGACGCTGAAGGACTTGACACCAAACTCTGCAATTAGGAAGTCCTTGGGGGTGGTGCATGTATCCAAAAAATTGAGGGAGGGAAGACTACAGTGGTTTGGGCATGTCCTTAGGCGACAACCATCGGATGCAATCAGAATGGTAGAGTCGATTATAGTCGACGGTGCCAGAAGGAGAGGACGACCAAGGAGGAAGTGGGTTGACTGCTTGATATCTGATTTGAAGGAATTAGCTCTTACCGAGGACATGACCTCTGATAGAAAAGTATGGAGACTCAAGACCAGGGTACCCGAGTAGTATAGCATCTCTGTTTTTTTTAATGCCTTTATAGTAATATCCATGACTTTTATTTTTTATATGTTTATGTCGTTGGAATTTATGAAGGCTTAGAACTAGGATAACGGAGTAGTGTTGTCTTAGTTTAGGATTTAACCCATTTGACTTTATTCCTACTTGTAGCTTGCTATCGCTGACTTCTGTGTATCATTCTCTTCATGGTTCCTATTTTTAAATTTAATCGGAACTTACATTTCTGTCTATAAGCAGAGATTTTTATGCAGGGATTACTTTCCATTACAGACGCGCATATGAAGACTGCATATGAAGACTGTTCAACTGTGTATTTATTGATTTATTTATGCATACATTGTATTTTATCTTTATTTTTAATTATCTTACTATTGGAGGTCTTCCACGGAAGTTGCTCTCAATCTGGCGTTGGGGACAACCTACTACCTCACCTCCCTCTTACCCCATTGTATATGGAAATAGGGTTTTGTTGTTGTTGTATTGCTTTTGAACCTAACAACCAATCCTCTTGGATACTCGATTCAGGGTGCCTCCGATCACATGACAGGTAAGTCCACCTTGTTTCACACCCACACACTCTGTTATAATCAATCCTGAATCCGCATTGTTGATGGCTCTTACTCACCTGTGGCTGGAGTTGGAAAAATACAATTAACAAAGAATCTTTCTCTTAATGATGTCCTACATGTCCCAAACTTGTCCTGCAATTTACTTTCAATCAGTAAACTAATTAAGGATGAAAGTGTTATTGCTAAACTTTCTGCAACTAGTTGTGTGGTACATGAACAAAAATCGGGGATGATGATTGGCACTGCTAAAGTTGATGATGGTCTTTATGTTTGGAATAAAGACAGTGGACAAGAAGGGTTGGCTCTTTCTACTTCGAAAGAGGACACAATCATGTTATGGCACCGTAGACTATGACATCCAAACTTCATGTACTTGAAGAAACACCTTCTATTGTTATTTCAAAATAAAAGTATTAATTCCTTGAAGTGTGAAATCTACCAATTGTCCAAACACACCTGTGTACCATACCCATTAAAACCCTATAACCAGTCCTAACTATTCTCTTTTATTCATAGTGACTTATGGGGAGCCAGTCGAGTAAAAAATATTACAGGAGCTAGGTAGTTCATAACTTTCATTGATGACCATAATAGGGTATATTAGGTCTATCATCTCAAAGAAAAATCAGAAACAACAATTTTTTTTCAAAACTTTCATTCAATGATTCGAACCCAGTTTAACTCTTCCATACTTACTCTCTACACTGAAAATGGGAGAAAATATTTTAATTATGTCTTAAGTCCTTATCTTGCTGACCAATGCATCATACTCCAAAGTTCTTGTCCTGACACCCCTCAACAAAACAAGATCTCCAATAGGAAAAATTGTCATCCCCTTGTTGTGGCTCAAGCACTAATGTTCACCATGGATGTCCCAAAATACTTGTGGGGAGAAGCTGTCCTCACAACATGCTATCTCATAAACCGACTACCATCAAAGGTTCTAAACTTCCAAACACCTATAATTATCCTTCAAAAGGTTTTTTCCTTATTTCTTGTTCCCAATCTTCCAACTAAGATCTTCGGTTGCAAAGCTTTTGTCCACAATCACCAACCAAATCAGTCCAAACTTGATCCTCTAGTCCACACTTGTGCTTTCATTGGCTATTCTCTAACACAAAAAGGCTATAAGTGTTATTCACCTACCTTACGCCGAATGTTTATCTCTCGGGATATCATATTTTTTTTAGAATGAATCATACTTTGCAGCAACTCATCTTCAGAGGGAGATTCTTAATGAAGATGAGACCCTTAACACCCTCCTCATTATACCTCCTGATCCTACCACCACTATCACCAACAAACCTACAAATAAGAGTGTCATTGTAGTTATAGATTTACATTGGTTCCCCTATGTAGCAAGAAATAAGCACGATCAATGAGAAATAGCCACCCAATTCAAAGAGACAGCAAGAACAAGCTCCAGAACTGCGGACTTTTGAATTCATCTGTCTAAAATTTATCTTTGAGGATCATTTTTTAAAGGTATAAATGTATTGCTCTTGCTAATAAAAGCAAATTGAAGTTTCAAAAAGGTGATATGTATGAGGTAATATTTGTAAAGAGAGTTGAATTCATCTTTTAAAATGTATATTGAGAATCAGTCTTGAAAGGTAGAAATGTATTCTTCTTACTAATAAAATATAACTCTCAACCAAAAAGGTATATATATTTTTAGTTTCTCTTTTTCTTTCTTTTTGGGCTTTTTCAATTTTTGACAAAACGGTGATGAAAGTCTATGAATGGCCTTCGATGCCATGGTTTTTAGATCCATCAATATTCATTTCGTGACTCATTTTGTCACTCTTGATACTAATTTTGGATCTTTGTTGAAAAAGTTGTGATAAATTGAAAATGTTTAGGCATATTTTCTAAGGGTAAAGATGGAGATTGAAATAATGAATTTGCTTATTCATATTCTATTTTATGATATCTTTAAAATGATATATGTGATGAATGAAAAATTGATACTCAAAGTAAGGTGCATGTGAATTATGATATGTAAGGAAAACAGAAAATTCATATCCCTCAATGGTAGGATAGCAAGCATAGAAATACTTTATATAGACCAACCCACTTGTTAGTTTTTCAATGACTTAGATTGAAATTTTGCATTATGCACAAGTGCTAAGGGTGTAAGCCCTAACTTCATTAAAAACCTAATCGGGATTGAGGGTGCACTTAATTATGTTATTGTTTAAATGTTTAATTTTTTTTATTTTTCTTTTCGTCTCGGATAGTTATATTTATAACAATCTCTGCTATAACAAGTGTTATTTTTTAGGGAGGTTATATTGTTTCGACATGACGACTACATACCTCCTCAAACGATCATTGTAAATGTTCATTCAATGATCATGACAATATTTTATATTAAGAGACGAGTTTATAAAGCTTCATAAGAATGGAAATAATTTTTCTATCGAAAATACAAAGAAAATTTTAACCAACGAACGTGTAGGTGTTTTGCATCGTATAGATATTGTATTTGATACAGTCGTATATGGCGATTTGCTACAGGTCTTCTAGAGTTGGTGGGTTGGAGAAAAAGAATGCTAAAGCACCTCCATCTTATGTTGGCTTGAAAAGTACTATTCTTGTTTAGACAAGAGTTAACGCAGAGAAAATATCAACAAACATAATCAGAGTTCGAGCATCTTTTAATGGTAAAGGAGAAGGTTATTCTTTTTAAAGAAATTGAGTTTGAGCATCTATGTCTGTAATATCTGTATATTATCAATCGGTTCAAAAAAATTAATATATATTATCTTATAATCATTTAAGCTATTAAAATAATAATTATGATGAAACATAGGTAGCGAAAGGTAAGGCCCTCATTGTCACGCCAAAGCAAAGTGGTTGTATGAATATAGGGATGGTCAAAAAGTCCGAACTCGACGGGTCCCGACTTGATCCGATCTTATAGGAGAATTTTTTTAATTTTCAAGGTTCAGGGTGGGGTGAGATAAGTTATATGACAAACAATTTCGGGGCGGGTTGGGGGCGGGTTTAAGGTGAAAAAACCGACGTGACTTGATACGGTTTAAATTATTAATTTTCTTTATATTTATATAATAAATTTAAGATTTTATGGATTTTTATTTTTATATTATTAAAAATATAAAAATTATTATATAATATATTATTTTAATAATTTAAAATATAATAAATAATTATAAATATATTATTATAAAATAATATTAATCTATTCCGATTAGATTAGATATGACATAATCAAGTTTAAATAATATAATTTCAAGTCGGATTCGGGAGGCCAAAAATCCTTAACCTCCGCGTGCCTATCCCTATATAAACAATCAAAGTCAGTTTTGCCCAATGGTTGCATGGCAGATATGGCCACTAGGTCCCCCCTTGACACCCAACCCCATGTGTTACCTTGCACTAATACCATTCCCCTTCTCAACTCGCAAGTAGGGATCGGCGTGTAATCTAAATTAACGAGTTTTGATTCGATTCAATTTAATTAGATTATAATAGAATCAACTTTAAATAATATAATTTCGAGTCGGAGTGATAGCCTATCCCCTATATGAACAATCAAAGTCATATTGTAAAAATTAGGGTCCAAACAATTTATTCAAAAATTGGACCCTTTCTTAAGTAAACAAAAATCTCAAGTTCTTTTAAATATCTTTTAAGGTTCAGTAATTATAAAAAAATCTCAAATGTATATTTTGGATAATGAATTTTTAATTATTTGGCAATAAACACTCAAACACTCATGTTACAGTTATTGATGTTCGAATCAAAGATTTCATAAAAATAATAGTTATTCTTTTAACCACTAAATTAATTTGATTCGTTATACTCACTCTCTTCGAGGGGTTTTTCGACAAGCAATAATGACATTAGATGATGGGACTTCGATGGCATGGTTGTTCGAATCAAAGATTTTATTATTCCGACAAAAGCACTGCATGTTTTCTCAAACGACTATTGTATCATCACCCTTTGTTGTTTTGCTTTATATCGAAGATAATTATTAGTAATTTTTGAATAAATTACATGTTTAGTATTTAAATTATTAATTTTGATATATTTTAGTATCTAAATTTTATTTTTTTTAAATCATACATAATGTTTAATTTTTGTTTCATTTTAGTACTCCGTCATTAAAAACTTAACGGGTTAGTATCTAAACTATCATTTTTTGTCCGTTTCAGTACTTGAACTTCTAGTTTTTTCAAAACTTAACGTTAAATTTTTAACTTGTACTAAAATAAAACAAAAACTAAATATTATGTATGATTTTGAAAAAACTAAAAATTTAGATATTAAAACGGACTAAAAATTATAGTTTAAGTGCTACGTCTTCTACGTTAATTATAGTTTTTGAAAAAAATAAAAATTTAGATATTAAAACGGACTAAAAATAAAACAAAAACTAAATAAAACAAAAACTAAATATTATGTATGATTTTGAAAAAAATAAAAATTTAGATATTAAAAAAAACTAAAAATTATAGTTTTTTTGCATGTTTTAGACTTAATATAAAAATAAGTATATAAACTATACATTTTTCTTCATTTAAGTACCTAAACCTTTTTTCGATCAATCCAGATGTCCTACGTCTTTTACGTTAAATTTTTAGGTGTTTCGACTGTAACAAACGTTTTCTATATTATATTTTTAAGTGTCTCGACCGTAACAAACATTAAATCCCACCGTCAAATTCTAAATGTTTTCTTTTTCTAATAAAATTAGCGAATTTTATTAAAAGAAATTAGTTCGTGTTAAGATACATCGTAATTCAAAAGAAAGACTGAAAACACAAATTTCATAGACTTGGATGACATGAAGGTGGCAAAGACAGAGAGACAAAGTGGCACTGTCCAATCTTCTTCCAAATATTCCCTCCTCGACAACAAATATCATATACCGTGTCCCCTTCCTTCATTATTGTTTCCAAATTCATATAATCCCACCTGTCTTCTCCATCTCAAAACATCATTGATTTAAGCAATAATCACAATTAGCAGGGATTCGTAAGTGGTTTATTAACAAGAATAGTACAAGCAAATAATGAAGGGTGGTGAAAAACCGCAACCAAAAACCGTTAAAAAACAGTATTAACGGTGAAATTGCAAGAGAAAATTATAAAAATCCTGCGAGTAAATTAAATTAGCTTTCTTTTCTTTTCTTTTTTTTGGGTTCTATTTGGAGCTTGCCATCTTGACACGTCTGGTGGGAGAATCTAACGGTGATGGAGAACTCGGTGCTGATGCTGATTGGACTGACGGCGGCGATGGAGATGACGATGAAGATGATGAGATCGGTGATGGTGATGACAGGATGGACGGTGGAGATGAGGAGAGATCATCGAAGCTGTCTCTTTGCTTTCTCTTGTTGATTCCTTTGCTTGATCTTTCTTTTTCTCCTTCTCCGGTCATGTAATCTTTTATGCGTTTAACGTCTGATAATTTCACCGGCTTTACTATGAAATCCTCTGCTCCTTCTTCCAAGCATCTGTTCATGAAATTCCCAGATCAATTACAAATTACTTTGGACTAATAATATGAACTCTTTAAAAAAAAACTGGGATTTCTGTAAAAATACCTGTCGATTCGAGCTAAAACGTTCTCCGACGACATGATTACAACTGGGATTTCTCTGAAAGCGGAGGATTCCTTCACTTTCTTGAGTAATTCATAGCCAGTCATCTCCGGCATACAATAATCGGTGATGATCAGATCGACTTTCAAATCCTGAAATAACAGACGAAGATGAGAATCAGATGGAAGGGAAACACTAATTCGTGAGAAAGAGGAAGATGAACTTAGACTCACATTAAGACCATTACTGCTTTTCTCTTCATCTAATCCCAGGAACTGCAAAGCTCTGAGTCCACTATCCACTGCAGTCACTGCATAAGCCAAACCCAGATTTTGAATGAGAAAATCAAACAACTTTTGAAGGGAAAATTCAAGAAAAATGAAGGGAAAAAATGAGGAAAACCAACCTTTGCAAGAGGAAATTCTGAGCAACCTTTCGATGACTTTCCGATCAACGAGACTATCATCAACGGCGAGGACATGAACTTCTTCAGTCCTCCGCCACGTAACGCCGCCGTTGCTCGCCATCTCGAAATAAACCCAGAAATTATGAACGTTGGGTATGTGGTCTTGCTTTAATTTATACGCTGTAACATACAAACCAAACGCCTATCTGTCTCTGTCTCCATCCCTTCCTCTTTCGTTATCAGTTTCATTGTTATTTTCTTCTTCTTTATTTTATTACTTATTATTTGTTTTTATTTTTCTCTCTCTCAAAATCAAATCTTTCTTTCTCCAACAAATCCCCGCAATCTACTTTTCTTTAATACAAAGGCTTTCAGTGGTTCCACTTTGGTGTCTTCAATATCTCGAACATTTTCTCGCGGGAAAGAGAGAAATTACTCATTTGTCGCGGGATATGGAAGTTGACCGGAGGTCAATGGTGGACACCGTCGGCTCTCCAACCGGCGACACCGTGAAACAATTTTTTTATTGGGTAAATTATGTATTTTAGTACCTAAACTTTTAATTTTTTTTTAAAATCATACCTAATGTTTAGTACCCATTGTAAAAATTTAATGCATTTAATATCTAAACTATCAATTTTGGTCTGTTTTAGTATTTAAATTTTTCATTTTTTTTAAATTATACCTAACATTTAGTACCCCGCCATTTAAAATTTAATGCGTTTACTACCTAAACTATCAATTTTGATCCATTTTAGTACATAAACTTTATTTTTTTTCAAAACATAACGTAAACTTTGAACAGGGTATTAAAATGAAACAAAACTAAATTTTAGGTATGATTTTAAAATAATTGAAAATTTAGGTACTAAAGTAGGCCAAAACTAATAGCTTAGGTACTAAATGTGTAATTTATCCATTTATGTTTAGAGATTTATTGCATTTGTAAAGAAAATTAAAGAGATAGTGATGTAAAAAATATTTATTGATTTAAGATGACTTGTACTATTGTATAGTAAAAAAATAAGGACTTAAAAAATCTGAATTTTTATTTTGACCCTTGTAATTTCTTTTTTTTTTATTTTGATCCATGCTATAAGAAAAAATGAAACCAAATCAAAATGGATGTCCCTTGTTCCCATATATAATGGGGTAAGGGGAGGTAAGATAGTAGGTTGCCCCCAACACTAGGTTAAAAGCAGCTTCCGTATAAGACCTCCAAATTATAAAATATCTCCATAGAACTTGATCCCACGACCTCAAGGTTAAGAACTAAATTACTAATAAAAAATAATAAATTTAATTAAACCATTAAAAAATTAAAAGAAAATAAAGGGCCATCGTCTGTCAATGCCTTCGATCTCCTCTCAACTCTCTCGGTCTATACTTGATTGACAATTGTCACCGTATAAGGATGACTTTAATAATGATTATAAAATTTATTTTAAATCTCTAAATAAATTTTTCACATCTATATTTATCTGTTTTTTAATGTAATAAATCTATAAAAAAAATATTGTTTTTCACTTTAACTGTGTCGGTAAAAAAGCAGACAGCATTGGGGGAACACAAATTTTTACTAATTCCGGTAAGGGTTTCATTTCCCTAATCCCAATGCCTCCTCGCAAGTGCCACCTCGTGGTTAATCTTATTTTTCCATTGGGTAAATTACTCATTTAGTACATAAACTATCAGTTTTGATCATTTTAGTACCTAAACATTCTATTTTTCTCAAAACCATAACTAAAGTTCAGTATTTGTTTCATTTTAGTACCATGCCGTTAAAAACTTTAGTTTTTGTTTTATTTTAATATCATCGTTCAAAATGTAACGCTGAGTTTTGAAAAAAATTGAAAATTTAAGTACTAAAACATACAAAAAATGATAGTTTATGTATTAAACGCATTAAGTTTTTAACGACATATATTAAAATGAGATAAAAACTAGATGTTAGTCATAACTTTGAAAATTATTAAAAGTTTAAGTATAAAAATAAATCAAAACTGATAATTTAAGTACTAAGTTATTAGTTTATCCTTTTTTATTTTGTTTCTTTGTTTCGTGGTAGATTCTGATATTTGAAAGATGCGTGTGCCCTTTCAAGCTGATGCGTGTGGACTGTGGGTGATTGATTGGTCTTCAAGAAGCTTGTGTTCATTGGTGCATAATGTAAAATGAAATCCGATGAATTTCAAAGTAATGAGATAATGAAATCTTGGTAGAGATTTTCCTTTGAATGAAATCAAGATGAAGTCGTAACTTCTAAGTTGTTATAATTACATCATTTAATTTTTATATTTTAATAGAATAAATGGTTTATACTAATACCATTGAATCATTTTAGTATAAAAGTTGACTCGAACCCAATAATCAGTTGATCTAGTGTGATAAGACACTAGATTTCTTAAGCAATGTAAGGGGTTCGAATCTTAACGACTGTGAATCCCTTAAGCAAGGTCAGGGGTTCGAATTCTAACGACTACTGTAAACACATGATTTGCGTCCTTATAATGTTAATATTATTAATTTCGTTTTTTTACAGGCCTGAACATGCAACCCAACAAACGAACCAAGCCCAGTTCAACAGCCGTGAGGAACCCTAACCCTGGCAGTGTTCTGTTCTACGCCACAAGCTCCCTCGCCTCCCTTTCCGAGTTTCACGGCCACCCGTCTCACATCCCCCACAACTCCGATTCCTCCGGCGCAAGGATTTCATGAAGATAACAAGCCAACAAACATTGGAGTTAGAGTTCTAATAGGGGTCAAACACTTAGATTCTAGGCTATAAATAAGACATATAATCCATTTATGAAGAGGGGGAAGACAAAAAAAAAACACACGAAAGTCCTACGGAAATACCAGAGAAATATAGAAGTACTCGAAGCTATTGTAATCAGTTTGAAAGGAAATAAAGAGGTAGTGTTTCCTTACCTTGTTTGTCGTTTTTACCTTGTATGCGTATCTCTTTCATTGTTGTGGTTCGAATAAAACTCAAAAGAAACGTTTTTGGTTGATAAACGAAGTGAGGCCTTTTTTTTCCGAAATATTTTTAGATCTACGCTCCTCCGGGTTGATTTTTGAAAAACAGATTCGATTGGTGAAAAAGAAATTTGAAAAGCTTTCGAAAAAAAACAAAAAAATATAAATTTTGCCGCCGATGAACGGTGGCCGTCACCGTTCAACGGCGACGACGAGGCGGCGCGAGGCGGTGTTTTCTGGAAAACGAGGCCTGTGTTCTTCACTTGGAAGAATGGCCCAGAGAACTTAGAAAGGGGGAGGGTCTCGGCTTATGAAAAGGGAAAATGAGAATTGTCAAAATAGTTTTAACCTAAATATATGGCCTGTTCTGCTCCATGCAATGGATCCACGTGTATCCTTTCAAAAGAGGGTTAATACCTGTTTCAGTCCCTCTTTCTACCTAATCTTTTATTTCACTCCTAATTTCTTCTAAATCAATCCCAAATTCAATTTTCCGTTCAATTTGGTCCCTTCACGTTTTTCCCCCTCTTATTTTTATTTAAATAGTGCACTTATTATATATAGTCAACCATATATTTTTATCATTTATCATTCTTAATTTTTCATTATTCATTATTATTGTCACTTCTTTCAATATTTTAGTTTAAATGTATATGTATACATCACTATTATATTTCATAAGTATGTACGTATATGCTTTTATTATATTATACTTCTTTTTTCTTACTTTTATTTATTTAGTTAGTATGTATATATTTATTTTATTATTTTTTTTATCTAATATTTTATATGTATATTTTTATTATTTTTACTTTATTACATATATATATATATATATATATATATATATTATATATATATATATATATATATATTCTACACACATTTATTATATTCTTTTTTTCCAACCTTTTTTTATACATTTCTTTTCTTTATTATATATTACTTCCTTTATTCCATTCATTTTTGTACTTTCTCCATTATTTATTTCCATTTTATCTAACACATTACATGACCTTTTTAAGGATGATTTCACATAAATCAAAGGTAAGCAGTTTGGATTGTAATTTTACCTTTACATTTAAACTTTCGACTTTCGTACTTAAAGACAACTGGAAATTACGTAGTACCAAAAGGGCAGTTCAAGGGTGCTAATCCTTCCTTGACCGTAACCGACTCACGAGCCCGACATATTTCTGGTAAGACGCAGATCATGTAAGGAATAAGGTATCCGGTTAACCTATTTATTCTTAAATAAATAATCGGTGGCGACTCCTAACCCAATCAATCCACATTTTCAAGTCGAAGCCCAATCCCGGGGCCCAACCGAAAGACGGTTCCGACAGCTTGGCGACTCCGCTGGGGAACTTTGAGGTAAGCGAGTCAGGCTAAGGTAATTTCCAGTTGTCTTTTTACGAAAATGGTAAGTTTAAATTTTAAGGTAATATTTCGATCCTTTTTACTTACTTTTGATTATATTTTCGAGTAAATAGTTGGACTAATCGTTTTCTCATGATTTCAGACTTCAAAGTTTTTTTCATTTAAGGCTCTATACCCGAGCTCCAATTCCTATTTTAAGTGGGGGTGAAAGCGACGCCTTCGTGTGAATTTATTCACCGTGCGGGCCTAGCAAGTAGCCTTCGGGATTCATATACCTTATGTCTTCGTGTGAATTTATTCACCGTGCGGGCATAAGGGAATGTGTCCCCTCGAGTTTAACTTAGTCCACACAAGCCTGTGATGGGTTTAGGACTAAGGGTCTGGCAAGCCCAAGGGGGCACCGACAAGGAGGACTCGGGTACCGTTTTTTAAAACCTAAACCGGGAGACCATGAAGAATTAGAGCCTACCCCGAAACCACGTTCCAAAACCTAGGATATTTTTACCCTAACCATGTTTTTTTGCGCTTTTTTCTTCCGTCATTTCTTATTTGTATTTTTTATTTTACTAACGTTTTTTGCCTTTGTGTTTGTTTTCTAGCATTTGCATCATTACAAGAGGCTATTGATCCCTAAAAAGTGTTTGTTATACACAAAATAATTCGAATTAATGGACAAAGGTGTTGTAATACAAGAGATTGAAAACGCTGAGGCACGACTATGGTCCGAGAAGGCTCAGAAAGAGAAGGGAGACAGTCTTCAGGGAAACTATGTGTCAGAACTGGTTAGTTATGCCGCTGTCAGCCTGAAACAGAATAATGTCCAAGAGCTGCGAAACATTTGGGACAGTTGGAAAAATGACAGAAAGCAGAAGTTCAGCCAACGATATGGTGATATCGCCCTCTTGCTCCATGTCAAGACTGATGAGCCCTTACTCCGAGCATTAATTCAATTCTGGAACCCTGGATATAGTTGTTTCACCT